ATAAAAGCAAGCCAAAAAAGTTGACAATTGTTCAAGGCTTGATCACATACCTTTTAATACCTGATGATGACAAAACCTTGTCGAAACGTTGTACATTTGCTGTCATGTTAAACTTATATTAAAGTTTTTCTTCATTACCCATTTAAGCAGTCTCCAGCCATTATTAGTCTCAAAGTGGGTTCCTCGTCATCGAATTTAGTAATCTTTGTTGAAATACTTAATATTTGGAAAGTTATCATTACTTCATTATGAAAATGTTTATAGTTCAATATTTACTGGTCTTTCATTATATGTTAAATGCATCTTTTCACATTTCTGCTGGTGTTTCTGAGGAAAATATTTTAACATTATCCTATTGTCACTTTATTTAAAACATACCAAGCACAGTAACAGAAAGCCATTCAGACTGCCCACTCTACCTATCCACATTCAACTTGACTAAAAAGACAACTAATCACAGATAATTGTAACTTTTTATATCTTTGTATCCATAAATGTCTAACCAAAAATAAAAACCCAACCACATATCAAACATAATTAGTGCAAAAGATATATCTTGGAGTTGCAGACAGAAAAAAAAATTAAAGATTTGATATATTAAGGCTTTCAGTTAACTGTTCATTTTGTAGTTTAAGAGTAAATATTAACTAATATAAATGGCTTAATTCAGGTTTTTAAAATTGTTGGCTTGGGTAATATGGTGGACTCTTGTCTGAGTGATGGAATGAATAGATTGTAAATCCAAAATTTAATATTAGGGGTGACTAAGCTTTAGAAGCCAAGGTCAAGACTTCTACTGCAAAATGATTTATCTGTTAAAGGTATATTTATATGAGCTGGCGGAATGGCTTTCCTGACTATGATGTGTGTGTAATTAGCTTAAAGTACATTATTTTAAACACGTGAAGGGTTCCATTTAGTGGTTTTCATGCTTTATAACGACTTTATAGTTTTCAATAGTAGTATTTGCTATTTCTGATGAAGTTGTGGCCTTGCAAGTTGCACACTACAACTTCACGTATGCTACTTTGGCAAAATGAGGACAATGACCTTCCACACTGAAAAATCAATATTTCCATTAGTTTTAGTACAGTACGTATTAGTTGTATTCCGTTCTTCTGCTGGCTCTGTTCTCTGCACTTAAGTTATTTCACTTTCAAGCACTAGGAATCCTAGTACTAGTACGATTACCTTCGTCTTCTTTACATATACAATTACAAGATACATTGATAGAAATAACGTGAACAACGACCCACAAAAACAGCATAGATAATTTAATAAATCATTACTATAGAATGTGGCATATTATAGCCTAACATATATTTACTTAAGACTTGTCTTATATTCCATGATTTATATTATAATAAAGCAAACATTATTTTAGAACAAAATTATGCACTTACCCAAATCTAAAAATATCTACAAAGACACGTTCTAACGTTACATTTTCTGCTGGGAGTGGGACTGCAACAGAAAAATTTACTACGTTTACTCCTGATTACTGAGCAGTCGAAATATAACGGTTGTAACCTCAGGCGTAACTTTCTTCTTTGTATCTTCACTTTGTACATGGAATTTTGTACTTTTAAGATCTAGCTTCCAACTAATGTAGGCCTAAGAAAAATGTACGTTTTTTTGGCCTTTGTTAAAAATTTTTATCAGAACAACTCACACGAATTTCGACGAAACTTGCCAAGTTGTGTGTACTGAAGCCCTTTGTCTGGGATTTAAAATATAATGACATTGTGTTTCCTAGTAAAGTTAAATCATTATAATCTGTGTTGTACACTATTCGAAATATCTTTCTACTAAACGGAAGCTACATACAATAGGACTACTTATTAACTCGAGTAAGAAGTTTGGATACTGATATATATATATCTATATATAACACTGATTCTCCCTACTCCAACAGACGTCCTCAGACAGTCAATGACCTCTTACTAATGGCCGCTTGCGATTAGGCGCGAAGCACATTCACGTGATGCTAGATATATCTGTGACGTAACACGTCGGTACACCAGACATTTTTTTGTTAAACCTTGTGAAAATACGTAGCTGGTGGTATATTTAAAACAATATTTACATAAAACTCCTACACCAGAGACCTCAATTGTAATTTATTTTGTTATATATAAGAAAACTTTAAATTATTACATTTACTAATACAGACACAACATCTTTTTACATATGCGCGAACATTGAACTTCAACATTATACATGGTATTTTGCACACAAAATACATGATAAAATCAATATAATTAATAAAATAAAAATAATACATTTTGGCTCAAAAGGTAACACTCTTCTCGAAAAGAGAAATGTCCCGTTCAATGTCTAGTGACTCAAAATATTAGACTATATTAAAACATGGAATCTTTTCTGTTATAAAAGTAATCATTTTATGTTTTATTCTTATGACAAGCAACCTGTCTAAGTACATCATATCCAGTGGCAGATTAACTGGGGCGCAGCTGGAGGCCCTAAAAATGTGAGGCTAAGATACTGCATGCGAAGAGTGTTGTTGAAAAAGAAAGCATTATTAGAAAGGAAATGAGTTTATTTGAAATTTTATTGTAGTTATGAATGATAATTTTTTCGAACAACATTTATGTTGTTAAAATAGGACTAACAATTAAAAAATATATATATGCAAAAAAAACTGAAATTAATTATAAATATACATATACTGTAAACCAAGGTGTACACTGAGTGGTCACAAGTAAAGAGACACCTAATTTTTCGTCATTTAACTGATTTATG